TATTTATGTTTTTTTGTTTTGTTTGCTGTAACCCCAGCAAAGTTTTAAATTTTTTCCGCTTAAAATTAATTTGACTCGTTGCAATCTCCTTTGAGGTTTCACTGTAAATGTATACGTACATCTCTCATATGTGTACAAAGTCGGACGAGTCGCTTAGAAATGACAGCAGTCTGAAGTTGGTTGCAGTTTTTCCATCCCACCCTGTAGAGGTTCCCGATTTGGTATTGTCCCCACAAAACGGATCCAGCCACATTATGGTTTTATGAAAAGGTTTACGGGATTATCCAAACGGTCTTACTGGTATTTGTGGTTTCAAGTGGAACACGTTTCTATTCAGATACTTTTATATAAACATGTTTTCTTTACCCAATGGTGGAGGGTATTAAAAGTTCGGCCTGGCCGAACTTCATTGTTCATTTCTTTTATTTTTATTTATTTATGTTTTTTTTTTTTTGTTTGCTGTAACCCCAGCAAAGTTTTAAATTTTTTCCGCTTAAAATTAATTTGACTCGTTGCAATCTCCTTTGAGGTTTCACTGTAAATGTATACGTACATCTCTCATATGTGTACAAAGTACTATTATTGTATTTACTAAGATTTTTCTCATATGCAAGTTAAGGTCCCGCTTGGATTAATATCATGGGGTGCAGAAGCAGAACAAAGGCATATAATGAAAATTCTCCAAACTATGTTATTTTTTTGGTGTCATTCATGCCGGTCTTTTGTAATTTCTTTCTTTTGGTTGTTGGTGCACTGCCACCAGGGGTTTGGGACGAAGGACGAAGGGGTTTGCCTCATCGTTTCTTTTTCACATACAAGAAACCATCATTGAAACAGAAAAGCCATGAATGGTAAATGATATCCGTCACAATTTCCAACTGGAACTGCAGAAAACATGACACAGAACATGGCGTAGCATTTCGGTTTAGTTGAAGTTAAGTTCTGAATGGGTTATGAAGGAAAGTAGTTGTTGTGTTGGTTTAACGATGACGGTTGGCTGGTGGATGGGTTGCAGATATTCCAAGGTTATCAAATGTTTTAGTTGTGTATAAATTCGTTATAACGTTCTTATTATTCAGTCATAAACCGTTTGAAAGTAAATCGGGTTTAGGTTACTTGTGGTATAACTAACCAATAGGTGACTTTGAAACATGTCTCATATATATAATCAACAAGTAAAAAAGCTGAAGTTCGGCCGGGCCGAACTTTGAATATCCTCCACCAGTTAGAACGAATTTGGCAATTTCAAAAAAAAAAAAAAATAAATAATATCTGTAAAAAGTTCTGTTAAAATCTTAAAAATACCAACTGTAGCCGTCATATTAGGGTCTACACGAAGACGTGAACCTGCGAAATTTAAAAAAAAATCGGTGAATAATGTAGCTAAAATCACCAATATTGGAAGGTGCTATTATATGGGGGGTATACCAAAATGTGGACCTGCAAGGACAATTTTCTTTCATAGGCTGCAGTATCCATTACGAACTTCAAATACGAATTTTGAAAATTTCCGGTAAATAATGTCGCTAAAATCATCAAAATACAGAAAATCGAAAGGTACCGCCATATGGGGGCTATACAAATACGTGGACCTGCACAGACAATTTACTGTCATATGCTGTAGTTTCCATTACGAACTTCAAATACCAAATTTGAAACAATTCCAGTGAATAACGCCGCTAAAATCAACAAAGTACCGAATATCGGGGGTACCGTTGTATGAAGCTATACAAAGACGTGGTCCTACATGACCCACTTTCAATACCAAAAATCCTGCAGACATAATATACATTTGAGTAAAATTTTATCAATCTACATCAATTCTTTCGGAAGCTAGAGTGATTTCCACAGACGGATAGACGGGCGGACGGATAGACGGACATCGCTAAATCGACATAGAATTTTATGAGGGGTCGACTTTGTGGGGTCAAAATGTATCTTTCGAGGTGTTACAAACGAAATGACAACCATACTATGGTGGAGGGTATAAAAACAGTTTCAATTCCCAATCTGTCGGGATACCGACTGAAGCTGTTCAAGTTGTCTCAAAACATTTCTTTATATTTTCCCTATTGAATTCAATGCTATATATAATGCCTCCACACCCAATGTAGACGACCCTATCTTAAAACAGTAACTCATTTTAACAAAGTTGTTCGCTGTGTATTTACAGAAAAAATATTTGGAACTAACCCATTCTCCACCACAATGTCAATCTTATGGCTTACGTTTGTAGGTCAAGGTAAAACATTTTTATTTAATGGATTCATGTTGATTCTTTTTCATCTGAAGATTTAGTTTTGAGGTTTTTTCTTTCTTTTTTTGGCGAAAGAATTGTGGTACGAAGACCGTACATTTAACCAAACGAAGAGCCAACGTTGAATTCAATGATATTCAGAAGATGCTTTTTAAGGGTAGGAGTTAAAGATGCACGAGAATTGAATGATTTACTTTGCATTTGGTGCTGATGATTGACCTCAGTATTTTAATGGCCTTCTACACAGCTTCAGATTTTTCTCCAAAACTGTTTAATTGATACATCTGAAACTCCTTAAAAACCAAGTACATTTCAAAAGTCGGGCGGGGAAACACCCTACACCACTATGCGTATTTAGTAGAGCTCCAGTAACAAAAAAGTTTATACTGAGAATTTATGTGATGTGGATCATACCAACTATGATCTAAATAACATTGCTGTATAGTGCTTGATATGACTTCGATAAGGATTATATTGAAAAATAATTATTGGAGCAATAAATATACAGGACCGACATTCGCCAAATGGTAAAATTCGATTAAATATGAAAAAATTTATTCAATTTGGATTGATAGGACATGTATGGCGAGCAATAAGCGTAAACCGTAATATGTGTGTCGAGGTTATATAAAAACCTGAACAGATCTCTATAAAATTTGGCAGAGATATTTTCGAGCAGTATATCATGCTCTGTATCAAATATTAATATTACGCACGTGAGTGAATTTAACACCAAATCGGATGAAACATACACAGGATGAGAAGAAAAAACTGCCACCAACTGCGGCCATTTCGAAGCCACTGGTCCGACAGCTGTTAAAATTATTCCAGTGACAGCTCATTATATTGTTTACAAGCGTACAAAAGCATTTTGGTGAGAATTTTCCAGATTAAAAGTTATTCGTGATGGAATTCAAGCGTGATAGTGTGATTTCTTTATATTTGGCTGGAAAAACACAAGTGGCTATCGTTAGAGTATTCCAGCATTTAAATGTGAATAAATCTTTTGTGCCTCGTACCATCGCTCGCTACCGTGATACTGGTAGTGTAGCCCGATGTTAAGGAAGTGGACGGAAGAAAACAACAACATCAGCAGAAATGGTTCGAAAAGTAAAGAAGCGACTAGATTGAAACCGAAAAATGGCTAACATATCGCAATATTCCATTCGGAAAATATTGAAAAATGAGCTCTGGGTAAAACCATTGAAATTACAAAAAGTGCAAGAACTTACACTGCAACAGAAAGAAAATAGACTCAAAAGAGCTAAAGAGTTGATTCGCTTGGCCGAAAGTGGTAAACTGCCGACTTTGGTTTTGGAGGTTTGTTTGTCAACAAACAAAATGATCGTGTTTCCTTGCCAAAGAGGTCAGCTGAAAATGTGCACCTTCGGTTGGCCACCCGAACTTAAGCGCCGGCCATACTGATGGTGTGGGCCGCCATAACAACCGATGGTCGCTCTCCGCTTGTATTAATCGAGCGTGGCATCAGAATAAATGCCGAATATTATTGCGAAAATATTCTGGAGGGTGCCTTGGGCACGCAAACATTTTGGCCGCAGACCTTGGACATTTCAACAGGACTCAGCACCATCGCACTCAGCATGCCGACACCCAAGAATGGTTACAAAATGAGGTTCTTCGCTTCATTTCCAGCGCACAATGGCCACCAACATATCCGGATACCAATCCGTTGGACTATTGTGTCTGGAGTATTTTGGAAAGCAAGGTTAGCACTAAAAAAATACCAAAGTGTCGATCACCATAAGCAAGCGCTTCGCCGGGAATGGGCCAAAATACCGCAGAGCAACTTTCGGGCAGCATGTGGCGGTTTCATTGGCCGTTTGAAGGCCATAATTCGTGTCAAAGGTGACCAACTCGAACAAATCAAAACTTATTCTAACATTTGATGCTATTTCCGATATTATTTGCTTGCATTCAATAAAATTAAAAAAAAAAAAATGGAAAAATTTGGCGTTTGACTTTGTTGCAGTTTTTTTTATCTCACCCTGTAATTTTAAGAAGAAGAATATGACAATCGGAGTCTTACATCACATTTTATAGGAGTTATAATTATTCAAAATTTTGACTCTTTGTGGGGTAGGCACTTGATGGAGTAGACCAATATTGTCAATTTACGCTCCTGATCTAGCACTGATGTAAATATTAGGATTTCCAAAGTTGGAGCAAAATCGGCTTATCCTTTCTCTTCTTGTACAGTGAAATATTTTTTTTTTTTTTTGAAAATTTTGACATTTTGTGGGGGATGTATCAGAGAGAGTGGATCGATATTGCCCATCTCCCAACTAGATCTAAGTTTGATAAAAATAATGTTTTCATGTTGGGACCAAATCGAATACTACATTCGAGAGTTATCGTGCGCACCACTTTAACGGGCAGACTAACGGACATCGCTAGATCGACGCAAAATGTCCTAATATGGATTTGATTCAAAGAGACCAAGGGTCTAAAACCGTTATTTCGATTAGGCACATTTTGGCCGTATCAAATGATATATACCCTCTCTAGGCATATGGCTGAGGGTATAATAACCATCATTTGCATTATCCCTAGGAATATACGCTATTTAGTCTGTCTACCTACACATTTTACTGGAATTTTCAGTTAATGACGTAGACTCCATAAAAACACAAAACCTATTTTTATTTTTTTGGCTTTGCATCATGGCGATCCACAAGTGTTTGCAGACATACCAACGTATGATTAGATTTACATGTGTACATACCTGTAGGTGGGCACTGGATGGCCTTGAGCAATGCATGGTAATGTCGTCTGACCATTAAGCACAACATGACGCATCGAGTGTTTTTCCACATTGATGCGTGGCTGTACCATGCCTTTGGGTTCGGTAACAATAATACGACCAGGATATGTGGAGGCTTGGACTTCACCTGCAATGGATAGAAGAAAAAAAAGAGGCATGCATTAAAAAAGTGAGAATTGTAAGAAAATCAAAGCAAAATTTGGATTTCGATGAGATGATGAGGGGGCATATCCGATTTAAAATTGTTGTTTAAAGGAATAGATTGCAGGTTTAAAAGAAACAGAAACAACAACACTTCATTAACAATCCGTAAATTGTTTTTTTTTTAATTTTCTTTTTGAAAGGAACTATTAAACGCACATACTAGAGTCAATTGGATGCAATGCCCAGTATTGGAAGAATCAAGCAAAAACGAAAAGAAGAATGAAACCGTACCACACTCAAATTGATTTGAGCTAAATGTTATATCGCAGGTTTGATGTGACAAAGACCGGAAATCAGACAAAAGATACACGTAGAACAGTAACTATTTCTGAACCAATTAAAAACAAACAAAAAACAGACTCTATTGTATTTTTAAGCTAAGTCATAGTCACACATCTGTAATGATTTTCCATGTATGCTTTTCCAGAACCTGCAAGAATGCCACATTTGATTTGATTTGATGATTTTTGCCACATTTTCCACGGATTTTTCTAAAAAATTGGTATTTGTAGTTGTAGCTCCGGTGGCAGAACATTGAATATCTGGATCTACGTTTTCCTATAACGCACATATAACGATACCCACCGATATTCGTTATTTTGATAATCCTAGTCACATTTATCCACGAAATTGTTCCAAATTTGGTATTTAAGACTCACAATAGATAACAATCCTTGTAGTTTAAAATTGTCTATATAGATTTTAGGTTTTTCCTCACCCACTTCATGGTTTCTTGAAAAGTTTGACTGCATTATCCAAACGATATCACTCGTATTTATACCCTACAACACTTTGTGTTGGGGGTATTATAAGTTTGATTGGGCCAAAAATTATGTAACACCTCGAAATATTGGTTTCCCACATAGGAAAGTATATATGGATCTTCCTATCTCGCCGAGCTGAGTCGATCTAGCTATGTATGTCCGTCCGTCCGTCCGTCTGTCCGTCTGTCCATGTTAATTTGTAATCACTCTACAGGTCGCAATTATGGCCCGATCTTCACGAAATTTAAAATGGAGGTGGGGTTAGGGTCAGAATAGAACCCTTTTTCTTTTGGAGATGATCGCACAATATTTAGGGGTCGAAATGGACCAAAAACTGAAAAATCCTGATTTTGCAGTTGCTCTACAGGTTGAAATTATGGACCAATCGACGCGGAAATTAGCATGGGGCTCAAGCTTCGGGCTGGGCAGAAGTCTTCCGATTTTGATGGTCATCGGGTAATATTTAGTGGGTGAAAAAGACTATAACATTTGTGTTAAACAAAAGTCAAATTTCCATTATACCGTGAATATTTTTAGTCCCGGCGCAATCACAAATAGACGAACAGGTCAATCCTGACCGTTACGTAGATGCCGATAGTAAATATATCGGATATATAGCAAAATATATACAATGTGTATATACAAAGGAAAGGAATGTTAGATGGAATGCTTATATCTCAAGAATGGCTGGACCGATTTTGACAAATTTTGTCAATTCAGGATGGCCTCTTGACATAAAAGTATAAAATCTAAAAAAATCGCATAAAATAAGTCAAAAATGATCTTAATATAGATTTTTTAGTTTTTTGTGACATATTTCTATTTTTTCATATTTTTTATCGCATGCGATTTTTTCAATTTGACTTATAATATTAAGGTGTACATTTTGTAATATTTTTCCACCTTACAACACAGGTTTGGGATATTATATACAGATTGCAATTATCGTCCGATCCTCACGAAAAGGGGTTCGGTTAGGCTCAGATGGGCTAGGCCTATTGTTTTCAAAGATGTCCGCAATATATTTAGTGGTTGAAATGGACCAACAACTAAAAATGTTCCTGATTTTGCAGCCGTTATAAAGGTCATAAATAGAAACCAAAGGACACGAAATCTCGCATGAAGTTAGAGTTTAGGGCAGCGGGTAGAATGGATCACTCCTTTTGTCTGAAAAATACCAACGTTACTTACAGGCGATATCCGAAATACACAAAATGCGAACTTCTGCTTTTTTTGCTGATTTCGTTGACGAATATAGCCAAATATCGTATATATGCTTTTGGAGATGATCGCAACATACGACGAAGTGCGTAAATATTGGACAAATGTCCCTGGTCAAAATGCTAAGGGTAATATCTGGGCAGTGCTCGGTCACATAATTTCAAAAGCGAAATCTTCCAAAATGGATTTGGACATAAGGGGGCTTCTAACATATTGTAGTGTTGTAGGGTATCACATGGTCGGCCCCGCACGACTATAGACTTTGCTTACTTGTTTTAGATTGAATTTTTTAATTCAGATACTTTTCTATGCAATTTTCTTTTCTTTACCCAATTTTGGAGGGCATTAAAAGTTTGGCCCGGCCGAATTGAAAGGTTTTTTACTCTTTTTTTTTTTGTACAAAGATTAACCCCCCCCCCCACCTGCAATAATCAGGAATATTTAATTACATAAATTTCGGCCGTAAAATATCATTACGAAGATGTACCACTTTTCTTAAGGGTTAAACATCTAGGAGGAACTATCAAATGACAGAGAATGGAACTAGCAGGAGTGTTGAATGAAGATACTGTTACTTTCAAAGATTTTTTAAGACAGATAAAAAGTGTCCCCGGGACGCACTTCTTAGTACCCCTGTTTCACTTAATACGAGTTTTCAATTTTTAAAAACTCGTAAAATTTCGAATTCATTTTTGAAATGTTTTTTTAAATTCTGAAAAATTTTCTGAAAATGTTCTGACCTTCTTCATAGGTCAGATAGTCCCTAAAAAAGAAATCTTATAAATCCAGATTCAATTATCATATAGTTCCTGAAAAAAAATCTTAAAGGACCTCGTTCATAGCTTTTGAAAATACTTTTTAAAAATCCTTGGCTTTGGTCAGAATGTCATTAAAGAACAAGTAAACAAGTAGCTAAGTTCTTTTACTTTTTTGCCCTCCACCATTTGAAAGGAACTTGAAAAATTTCAAAAAAAAAAAAAAAAAAAAAATCCGAAAACTACCACTTAAATAAAAACCGTTATATGAGGAATAGAGGTCGACGTGGACCTGGTTACGAATTTTTTTGTTATATGCTCTAGTTCCCACTACGAACTTTAAATATGCAATTTGTAATAATTCCAGTAAATAATGTGGCGAAAATCCTGAAAACACCGAATATAGGGAGGTACTGTTATATGGGCGCTATACGAAAGTATGGACCTGTATACGAACATTTATGCAATAGGTTGTGGTACCCATTAAGATCTTCAAATAAGAAATTTGAAACGAATGCGGTGAATAATTTGAAACGACGATGGTGAATAATTTTAGAATAAGTTTAGATTTGTTCGAAATGGTCACCTTTGCACGAATTATGGCCTTCAAACGGACAATGAAACCGTCAAAACGCTTTGGTATTTTTTAATGCCAACCTTGCTGTCCAAAATACTCCAGACACAATAATCCAACGGATTGGTATTCGGAGATTTTGGTGGTCATTGTGCGCTGGAAATGAAGCGAGAAACCTCATTTTGTAACCATTCTTGGGTGGCGCGTTCTGAATGCGATGGTGCTGAGTTCTGTGGAATGACCAAGGTCTGCCAAAATGTTTGCATGCCCAAGGCTTTAATACACCCCCCGGAATATTTTCACGATAATATTTGGCTTCTATTCTGATGCCACGGTCGATTAATACGAGCGGAGAGCAACCATCGGCTGTCATGGCGGCCCACACCATCAACATGGCCGGCGTTTCAGTTCTGTTGTAGTTCAGTATTTGCCGAATGGAATATTGCGGTATGTTCAGCTCACGAGCCATTTTTCGGCCACTGTGACGCGGGTTTCGATTTTTCTTTATTTTTCGAACCATTTCTGCTGATGTTGCTGTTTTCTTCCGTCACGGTTACGAGCGATGGTACGAGACACAAAAGATTTATTCACATTTAAATGCTGGAGTGCTCTAACCATAGCCACTTATGGTTTTCCAGCCAAATATAAAGAAATCACACTATTACGCTTGAGTTCCATCACGAATAACTTTTTGTCTGGAAAATTCTCACCAAAATGCTTTGGTATGCTTGTAAACAATATAATGGGCTGTCACTGGAATCATTATAACAGCTGTCGGACAAGTGACTTAGAAATGACAGCAGTCTGAAGTTGGTTGCCGTTTTTTTCATTTTTTTCTTTGACAAAGTTTTCATGACAAAGTTAATTCGCCCTCCTTTTCGAAGTGGAGGGTATAACAAATACGAGTATTGTTTTTAATTCCAAATAGTCGTTAAATTTTTTTAAAACTTTATCATATATATATATATATATATATATATATATATATATATATATATATCAGATAGTCCATATATATATATATCAGATAGTCCATATATATATCAGATAGTCCTTGAAAAAAAATTATCTTAAAAATCCACTTCAGATAGTCCTGTCGAGATATTACTGAAATATCAATTCTAAAAAATCCAAATTCAAGTGACAGAAATTCTAAAAAAAAATATATTAAAAAAATTCAAAAAGTCCATCGTAATAAGTCCACACTTTTCAAATCCAACCAAAAAATTCGACCCAAACAACGATTTGACGGTTCATGGATCAAAACTGACCTAAACATTTAAATTTTAAAGTTTCCTTATCTTGCAATGCAACAAAATTTTGAAATTCACTCGTGACGAAAATCCATTTACTTGTTTTTTGATAATATTCTAATTTGCTACAAAATAATTGACGAATATCCTGTAATTTTCACATGTTAACAACAAGTCGTCAGATTTCGCACCAATCATTCATTTAGCTTCGTCTAACAATATCCTTTGGGGAAATTTGAGAATATAGCACGTATTTAGCTATCTCTTTAACACATCGAATCCGACAACACTCTCCCAACCTGAGCATGGAATGGAGATGATTTGGTTTTTTTTTGTTTTTTTTTTTGCAAACATCTTTGCAGCATCCTTGATTGAATTTATTGCAAATAGGAGTAGTGACTTGTTTTAATATTCCATCCCCCCAAGCAGTTGATTGATGATGTGAAAGTTTTCACACTTCACTGAATAGTGATGTTCCTTGAGCATTCTAAGAAACATAGAAGACAAAAAGAGAGAGGCAAGAGAACACCAACTAAAATCGACTTGAAACTTCCGAAAAAGAATACACTACAAGTTGTGGGCATGAGTGAAAATGTTTGTGAAGAAAATTGAAAACTTTTCACCCATCTTAAATTCAAACATATTCACCGCCAGCTGACTCTAGTTTTGCCTCATTTTATCCGCAAGCCAACACAAGTTGCAAATGTTGAAGTTTGCCGAAAGATTGATGGTTTAGAAATGGAAAATCATCTGACGGCGTTGTGTGGATGTGCCAGAGACAGTCTTAAGAAATTGCAAATATGAAATTGGAATTTTATCGCATGGCGAGTCATGTGAGTATATTTAAGTAGGGAATATATAGGACAAAATAGAATTTCGGAATGAATACAAGTAAAATAGTATCAGTTGGGTTTGCCGACAGGTGTATGCCCTCAGCCTTGAGTTATGATTATTCAAACTTTTGAACCTTTATGGGTGGTCCTGAAGCAATTGGCCAATATTGACCAAATCGTATCTGACTTAAGTCTTATTTAAAAATTACATCATGCCAGATTTGGACTATATCGACATCTTTCTTCACTTTATATGAGATAATTTTTTGGAAAATGTGGACTGTGAAATGAAATATAGCGACCGAAGTATTCCATTTGCACTTCGTTATATACATATCAGATTTCTGGTTCAGAGAATTTGTTTCGCAAGTTATGACCGATATAAGTATTGGAAATTGTGACCCTTTGTGGATGAGGTACCAAAAGGGGTTTCCAGATATTTAACATCTTCACAACAGATCTTGCGTTAGCAAAAGTATTTGGATGTGTGAAATTTGAAGAGAGTTGAATGCTTATTTCGCTTTCATTGAGCGTTTTGTTTTTCAAAATCTTGAACCATATGTGGGAGAGGTATCAGAAGGAGCGGACCGACATATTCCATCTTTAGACCAGACAAGGTTTAATAAAAATATTGTGATGTGTGTAATTTGAAGAATAATCGGATGCTTATTTCGGATTTTATGATCGTTTGGGTTATTCAAAATATTTACCCTTTGTGGAATATTTACCCAGAAGGAATGTTCCGATCTCAGTCATCTTTATAAAAGATCTTGTGTTGATGGAAATATTGAGATGTGTCAAGTCTGAATGGAATCGGAGGTAAATTTCGCGTTTTTGGAGCTTCATGAATACTTAAGAATTTTGAACCTTTGTGGGGGAGGTTCCGGCAGGTGGGAACCGATGTATTCCATCTTCACACCAGACCTTGGGTTAATAAAAATATTGCGATGTGTGTAATTTGAAGACAATCGGACATTTACATCACAGTTCATAAAAGTTATAATTATTCAAAATTTTGACACTTTGTGGGGGAGATCCTTGATGAAGTGGACCAATATTGTCCATTTTTACACCTGACCTAGCTAATATTTGGATTTGAAAATTTGGTGCCAAATTGGATTATCTTTTCTCGTTCAGAGAAGTAAATTATTTTCTTTGAAAATGTTGATATTTTGTGGGAGTGGTACCGGAAGGAATCGACCGATATTGCCCAACTCTGAACCCGATCTAAGTTTGAATCAAATTGGATACTCCCTTCGAGAGTTATCGTGCGCACCAGCCAGTCAGAAAGACAGACGGACGTCGTTACATCGACTCCAAATGTCCTGAAACGGATTTGGTCCAAAGAGACCTAGGGTTTAAAACCGTTATTTGGATGAGGCACGTTTTGGCCGTAACAAATGATATAACTCTAGACACATGGCTGACTGTATAAGTAAGAGAGAATCAGATGGTATATACACGTAATCTAATATGGTTTTGTACAAGACGAATGGTAGAAATATCGGAATGGTTAATCGGAATCGTTCATCGTTTTATTTAAAGTTAGAATACATAGCCCATTTCCTATTAATATATTTTTATAACCTACACCACAAGGTGGTCAAGGTATTATGTCTTAGAGCATTTGTTTGTAACAGACAAATTGAAACGAGATAGACCCATAGTTTCTTTTGATGATTTGCATAGAACCACATTCTTAGTCGATTTATGCATGCCCGTACGTCCATCCGTCTGTCCACCTGTCTATATATTTTTGAAAACAAATTACAGGTCCCATTTATTGCCCGATCCAGATGAAATTTTATACAAATCATTTGTTCGATCCAATGATAAACCTAATTAATATTGGACATAATCGGTCAAAATTTAGATGTAGCTCCCATATATATCTTCGTCCGATTTTACTTTTATTGTGCACCAAAAGTGTAATCTCAGCCCAAATAGTATGGAATTTTGCACGTACGACAAAATTAAAATAAGTATGTTAAATTTAATAGAAATCGGTTCAGATATAGCATATATATTGTTCCGATTTGTTATTTTTTCCTTCGCAGCCATAATATGCACTCTGTTACAACAATATTTGAGGGAATATATTAAATACAGCTCAGAAATAACTTTTGCTTAATTTTATCGAGATCGGTTCAGATTTGGATGTAGCTCCCATACATATCTTCGTCCGATTTGTCTTTTATTGTGCACCAAATTGAGTCTAGAACAAGTAATGTGGTGAAACTCGGTTTAAATCAAATCATTCGATTTGTTGAATTTGTCCTGCATTCGGGAAATATATCAAATACAACTCAGAAATACCTTTCCCAAATTTTATCGAGATCTGTGCAGATTTGGGTATAGCTCTCATATATATCTCTATCCGATTTCAAGTTAACTGTGCGCCAAATGGGTAATACAAGCCCGAATTAAAAGAGCACAAATCCTTCTGCAAATTTATAGAAATCCATTCAGAAGAGGATATTCCTCTCATATATTAGTTCATTTGGGCTTTATATTATAACGATAAACATAGTTGGTATGATTTAATCGATCTTTCATAACCCAAATTGCGATTTAAGATTTTTGACCGACTTTTTTCTAAAATCCAATGTTAACAATTGGTCTGTCTGTTTACCTAACAATTGTTGTTGTAATTGTTGTTACTGGAAGTCGGCTGATATGAGAAATATTCAGCAAAAGTGGGAGTATTTTGCTTTTTCTTCTACTGAAGGATTAAAGGCGCTGTGTGAAAACACGAGTATCGTCGTTTTGGAAGTATACATCGCAAAGTAACATAAAAAGATAGGGAAAGTTCCCACATCTTCACACTTTTGAAAATTGTCTTCGGAAATACTTAAGATAAAACAAGTAAAAAACAGTAGGTTTGACTGGGCCGAACTTTTAATAGCCTCCACCATATAAAAGTATATACATACCTAGGTGTTCCACTTTAAACTACAAATACCAGTAAGACCGTTTGGATAATGCTGTTAAACTTTTCAATAAAGCATTACGACTGTAAAGCCGTTATATGCACAGAGCCGAAAATACAATGACTTTTTTAACCATGTGCATGGTTAATTTTTTCATGGTAAATGTTTGAGATTACAAATACAAAATATCGTTATATAAGGTCAAATATAGATGAAAAATAGTTTAATTAACGTTGTATAAGGTTGTTGTTTTTTGAGAGAGACGGAAAAATGTGAGAGATACATAAAAATTTAAAGAGCCTTCGGCTCTGTTGTGGTCAACAATTTTGAACTGCTTTGTGTTTGACGAAGTTCAATATTACAATATACGAAGTTGCAACGAATGTGACTGTCATATTCCCCCTCCTCCTCTTAATCGAATCTCTTTCTGTGGTCTGAATATGTGTAAGAAAGATCAAATAGACAATCACTTCTTTAGTTGGTGTTGAATAGTGCAAGGGAGTAGTGCACGTGCTCGTGGGAATAGTGCTTGGTATAAAGGTAAGTAAAAGCTGGTGAAATTAACAAATATATTTGATTGTAATTTGTATTTGTTTTAATAGAAAACCCTGATACTATTTCAACATAGTAATGTGTTATTGCTATATTCAAATTGTATCAGATTTGTCTATCAAATAAACTATAAATTACAGTAAAGAAACAAAAATAACGGTAATACATGAAAAAAACAAGCAACAACAACGTATATGCAGCGACAAGCAAAAATGAGGAGAGAAATAACGTGTGAGTGTTTATTCATACATATGTGTTCTTTTTGTCTTTGCTTGTGGCTGCTACGACGTACATTAGCGTATGTACGTTGTAATGTACGTTGTTGTTGTTGTTGAAGCGACAGTGTTCATATTTATGTATATCTTTTTGTTTTTTCTTCTCAGTTGTTTTTTTCTCTGGTGTCTTTTTTTTGGGTGCTCGTGCGTACATTTTTGGTAAGTTGTGACAATACTATTTGCTTTTATTAACTACTGTTTTCTTCTTCTGTTTTTGCAGTCGGTGTTTGGCGTTTTGTAGTTTTTTTCACAATGGCTGAGGAATATAATTTAAAATCACTCGGTAAGGCGTTAAAAAATAAAATTTATATTAAACATATATCTTTCTTTACCAGCCCTCCCTTAAATATACATACAATTTGTAATGGAAATACATATTTTAGAAATATGCGGTATTAATAAATAAATAATAAATAAACTTGTAAAAATTACATTTTTCTTGTTTTATTCAAACAAAGGTTAATTTATTATTAAAAATTACCATATGGACTGTTTAGACAAACTGACTATGAAATGTTATTATTAACAATTCTCATGGTTACAAAAATTTAACAGTGCATTGTTAAAACAACAATTTTTTTTCAATATCAACAATTTTCGTGGTTAAAAAAGTCAATCATGGAATAGCTAAATTAACGATGATTATTTTTAAATACCAGTCAACAAGAAAATGTTTAAATTAACCTTACATAACGTAGACTCCAAATCATGTTTATTTATGGTTAAGCTAACCTTGTATAAGGTTAATTTTTTCTCTGTGTGGGGGCCATATCATAATGGGAACCTCATAAATGCCAAATTTGAAAAAGTTTCGTGGGTAAATGTGGCTAGGATTATCAAAATAACGAATATCGGTGGGTATCGTTAAATGTGCGCCATAGGATAACGTGGACCTAAATTTTTAATGTTCCACCGCCGGAGCTACAATCCATTTTGAACTACAACTACCAATTCTTATAAAAATACGTTGCAAAAATAATCAAAATACCGAATAACGATGTTTGTTATATGGAGGCTATGCCAAAACGTGGGCCCATACAGTGTGAGATAAAAAAACTACAGCCAACTTCAGACTGCTGTCATTTCTAAGCCACTCGTCCGACAGCTGCTAAATTATTCCAGTGACAGCTCACTATATTGTTTACAAGCGTACAAAAGCATTTTTGTGAGAATTTTCCAGAAAAAAAGTTATACGTGATGAAATTCAAGCGTGATAGTGTAATTTCTTTATACTTGGCTGCAAAACCACAAGTGGCTATCGTTAGAGCACTCCAGCCACCAAAATGGCCACCAAAATCACCGGATACCAATCCGTTGGACTATTGTGTCTGGAGTATTATGGAAAGCAAGGATGACACAACAATTCCAAAGTGTCGATCACCTCAAGCAAGCGCTTGGTCGGGAATGGACCAAAATACCGTAGAGCAACATTCGGGCAGCGTGTGACGGTTTCATTGGCCGTTAGAAGGCCATAATTCGTGCCAAAGGTGAACAATTCGAAGAAATCTAAACTTATTCTAAAATTTGATACCATTTCCGACATTGTTTGCTTTCATTCAATAAAATTTAAAAAAAAAATATATAAAAATAAAAATTATAGAGTTTGACTTTGTAGTAGTTTTTTATCTCTGTTTTTCCGTAAAGCTATTTAATTTGTATATAAATTTACATATTGCGTCTTACTTATCAATTAACATCGTCCTAAGTCTTGACATCCTTCTCCGAATTGCAACAGTATTTCAATCTTAAATTGCAAGCAATGAATTTTACTTCGAAAATCGGGTATAATTTGGATTACCATATAATCAATGTTCATGGCCTAATTAAAGACTAACCGATGCACACACTCTCATACACATTTGCAAATTTATACGCTTGCATATGTATGGGTTTTGATTCGCACACACACACACATAAATATAAATGGCCTTTTATTAGCAGTAAATAGCCTACAATTGCAAGTAATCAACATACTTAGTTACTGCTCGTTTGCATAAACCTGAACTCTGTTCTCTTTGTCCGGTGATTTGCTGGTGTGGCAGAATATTAGAGACAATCATACTCGGTCTCTTACATGATAGAGATGTTTAGTGAGATTTTCAAGAAAATATTGTTTTGGAATTGAATCGAACAATCCGTTTGAATCACTTCTCTCGTAGTCAAATAGTGGTTGTGCCAATCTCTTCTAGTTTAAAGTTCAGTACACCATTTCTTAAACGTATGAGTGATTTCATATATTTCATATCATTCATACGCAAAGTTTTCATAAAAACTACAAAAGTCCATGGAACTAGATAAGGAACTAGTTCGTTCGAACGAACTACAGGGTTGTCCATATTCGACGGACCCATGACTCTTTTGGCCCATTCCAATCGACGAGGCTTGTCCGCAGGCAACATTCTTTGCGTCAATTGAATTTTGTACGGGAATAAATGCAAATCAATGCGAATAATCCGTTGTAAAGTGGACCGAGCCATGCCCAACTGCTGAGAACGGCGTTTTTGGGATGTTCTTGGGGACCTCTCAACACTGGCTCGTACGGCAGCAAAATTCTCAGCCGATCGTCTTGGTCGACTTTTATATGGCCTCTTCAGATTAGAAAGAGGCTTACCAGTCGAAAATTTTTCGTATAAACGCTTAATGGTGTTCTTAGAAGGCGCACTTCTCACATTTTTTAATGTTTTAAAAGCACGTTGAGTTTTTACAATTGACTTCTTCTGTTGAATGTAAATTTCAACTATTTCAGAGCGCTCGCGTGGCGTGTATTGGTTCGTGGTAAAAATCTGCTTGGACTGACGCCTCAAACGAGTTATGTCATTAAGCGATGTGACATCTCTGTCAAAAGTTATGGCGTTGCCAGATGGGTCCGTCGAATATGGGCAACCCTGTAGATTGCCATAACTAACTTGCCTTAGAGCGTTTGTTTTGTTCCAAAACAGTAGTTGATCGAACATGTAAATTGAAGTGAGTAATCATAACTGTGGCGGGTATATAAAGTTCGTTATTCCGTGGAGTTACTATATCGAGATAATAATTTTAGACATAACTAGGTATATCTAATCTTGATCAGGTTAAAATCCTAAGACGACATAGTCCATAGTCTGTCCGTTTGTTGTAATGACGCTATAGTCAAAACGAATTAAGATAGGAAGCTAAAATTTGCATAGATCAGTCTTTTGTCTGCAGGCAGGTCAAGTTCAAAGATGGGCTATATCAGTCCACGATATCGTATAGCCCCTATACAACGGTAATCTCGATATTCGGTATTTTGACAATTGTAGCAAAAATTTTCAATGGAATTGTCTGAAATGCTGCACAAGGATTTCTTTGTGAGTACTATATCCGATGGAGGAGAATTGTCTATATCGATCCACTATATGGAATAGCCCCCACACAACGGTGGCCCCCCGATATTTGGTATGTAGATGATTTTAGCTACACTTTTGACCGGAATTGTTTTAAATTTCGTATTTGAAGTTCGTAATGGGTACTACAACTAACGATAGAAAACTGTCTATGAAGATACACGTCTTCGTATAGCACACATATAACAGTACCTCCAAATATTCGGTTTTCATACCCTTCACCATACATAGTATAGAGGGTATATTAAGTACGTCATTCTGTTTTAACTCATCGAAATAATAATTTTAGACCCAACAAAGCATATATATTCTTGATCAGCGTAAAACTCTAGCCCTATCCGTCCGTCTGTCCGTCTCTCTCTTTTGTCTGTAGGCAGGTCAAGTTCGAAGATGGGCTATATCGGTCCACGATATCGCAAATCCCCCATATAACGGTACCCCCGATATTCGGTACTTTGATAACTTTACCCACATTTTTCAACGGAATTGTCTGAAAATCCACACAAGGAGTTCTTTGTTGATACTTTATACCTCGGCAGAGAATTATCTATATAGGTACCCCCCCCCCCTATATTCGGTATTATGATGATTTTACCCACACTTTTCAACGGAATGGTCCGAAATTGTGCACAAGGGGTTCTATGTGAACACTTTACCCACCGACAGAGAATTATCTATGTAGGTTAACGATATCGTATAGCACCCAACGGTACCCCCCGATATTCTGTATTTTGATGATTTTACCCACATTTTTCAACGAAATTATCTAAAAATCAACACAAGGAGTACCTTGTGAGTACTTTACACCCAGACATAGATTTGTCTTAATAGGTCCACAATATCATATCACCTTCCTGTATTAGATATTTTAAACGAATTTTTAATGGATTTTTTTTTTTTTGAAAATTTTCTAATTCGTTCCAAATGGTGGAGGGTAATCAAAGTTCGGCCCAACCGAACTTACTGCTTTTTTACTTGTTTTTTCTGATTTGAGAGACATTATAGACCGGAATTGTTTCAAATTTCGTATTTGGAGTTCGTTATATGGGGGCTAAAACCTATGACGGAAAATTGTCAATGCAGGTCCACGTCCTTATATAGCTCCCATATAACAATACCTCCTTATATTCGGCATTTTAACGATATTAGCGACTTCATTAGCCGGAATTAAAATTTAGTATCGGTACTACAAAACATTAGTTATGCAGGACACTCTTATGTGTACAAAATGTGCCTCATTGAAATAATGATTTTAGAACGTTGGTCTTTTTGGACCAATTCCGTTTCAGGATGTTTAGAGTCGATCTAGAGGTGGCCGTCCTACGTCTGTCTCGCTGGGTTGTGCGCACGATAACTCTAGAAAGGAGTATCCGATTGATCCAAACTTGGTAAATTGTATTATTATTGTAAAATTTACCTTGGGTTCGGAGTTGGTCAATGCCTGTCCACTCCTTTTGGTACTCCCCCACCAATGGTAAAAATTTTCATATGGGAGATTTAATTGCACAGAAAGAGAAAGGATCATACGATTTTGCTCTACCTTTGCAAATCCTAATATTTGCATCAGTATTAGGTTAGATGCGAACATTGACAACTTCTAACATTTCTAGTGATATCAAATTCTATGACACACTAATGGAAAATTTACTTTTGTTATCAATTACATTGAGCCGATATTAGGGTGTCTGATGTGTTTTATTTATTTCATATTGATTGAATAATTCTGGTGATAATAAATTATGTCTAAAAAAATAATTATATTTCAAGAGAATTTAATCACACCCAATACCAGCGAGTTTTTCAAAGGTCTTTTGAGGTCAAAGTTAGAGTGGAATTAATTTTCACATTTTCAGTGTTTTCAATATTTAAGTACTTCGAATTTGCGTTTCTCCTAATTCCTATTGAATTCTTATTTATAGAAAATATATAAATAAATGCATGGCCTTAAGCTAAGATTTTCAAGCATACAAATGTCTTCATTTTGTCAATTGCTATTTTTGTTCTCAGCTATTATCTTTGTTCAACTGCGAATCGTTAAGCATCGTGTTCTGAGAAAAAAAATATTAAAAAGGTGTAATTTATTTAACGATGACTGAGACAATCACAGAAGTTCGACGAAGTACGAACGAAGTGAACACCATTATGATTTATCTCCCTTCGAATCCGGATGTCATTCGAACTCGAAGAGCATCATCATTATCCTCATCATTTACAACAGTAAATGTCACATTCTGCAGTCTATCAATGGGAGAAACGAAACGAAACGAAAGATGTAATGACTATAATTTTTATTATTACTATTTATTATTATGGAAAAGCTCTTATTTATGATTTCTTTGAATTCATTTCTGTAGTGGATAAGAGGTTACAAAAAACTGCAACCAATTTCAGACTGCTGTCATCTCTAAGCCACTCGTCCGGCAGCTGTTAAAATTATTCCAGTGACCGCTCAGTATATTGTTTAGAAGCGTACAAAAGCATTTTGGGGTGAATTTTCCAGAAAAATAATTATTCGTGATGGAATTCAAGCGTGATAGTGTGATTTCTTTGTATTTGGCTGGCAAACCACAAGTGGCTATCGTTAGAGCACTCCAGCATTTAAATGTGAATAAATCTTTTTTGTCTCGTACCATCGCTCGTTACCGTGATACTGGTAGCGTAGCCTGACGTCAAGGAAGTGGACGGAGGAAAACAGCAACATCAGCAGAAATGGTTCGAAAAATAAAGAAGCGACTCGCGTCGTAGTGGGCGGAAAATGGCTCGTGAGCTGAACATATCGCAATATTTCATTCGGCAATATTCAAAAATGAACGGGGTAAAGCCATTGAAATTCCAAAAAGTGCAAGAAGTTATACCGCAACAGAAAGAAAATAGACTCAAAAGAGCTATGGAGTTGCTTCACTTGGACGAAAGTTGCGAACGGTCGAATTTGGTTTTCTCCGATGAGAAAATATTCGTTGTCCAGCAGTTTGTAAACAAACGAAATTATCGTATTTACTTGCCAAAGAGGTCAGCTGAACATGTGCACCTTCGGTTGGCCACCAGAACTCAAGCGTCGGCCATGGTGATGGTGTGGACCGCCATAACAGTCGATGGTCACTCTCCGCCCGTATTAATCGAGCGTGGCATTAGAATAAATGCCGAATATTATTGCGAAAATATTCTGGAGTGTGTATTTAAGCCTTGGGCATGCAAACATTTTGGCCGCAGACCTTGGACATGTCAATAGGACTCAGCACCATCGCACTCAGTACGCGCCACCCAAGAATGGTTACAAAATGAGGTTCGGTTCTTCGCTTCATTTCCAGCGGACAATGGTCACAAAAATCTCCGGATACCAATCCGTTGGACTATTGTGTCTGGAGTATTTTGGAAAGCAAGGTTTGCACTAAAAAATACCAAAGTGTCGATCCTAATAGGTAATACAGCCTATGAAAAAAAATTGCTTATGGAAGTCAAGTTCTTCGAATGGCCCACATATAATACTACCTCCATATATTCGGTATTTTTTGAATATTAGATTTTTTCCAAATGTTGGAGGGTACTTATTGCCTTTTTACTTGTGGTTTTTTTTTCTGTAATTTCTCAAGTTCCTTCCAAATGTTGTGGGTATTAAAAGTTCAGGCAGGTCGAACTTAGCTGATTATTTAATCGTTAATAGTTAAGAATTTAGCGTTGGCAGTGGTTTCTACATGCAGTGACGGAACATTATCTAGGCAGGTCCAGGATTGCCTATTACCCCCCATATAACGGTACATCCCGATATTTCGTATTTTGTCTGTTTTAGCCATTTCGTTTGGTTTCAAATTCGGTATTTGTGTTCCGTATTGGGTGCTGGAAGTCCTTTCCTATAACCGGTAGAGGACGTCTCGCCTTGACAGCTCTAACAATCATGACCCAGTGCACCGGAGCCGCAATACGATGCTTTGGCCTGCACCCCTTTAGTTATCAAGTTATCTTAAAAAGTGGAGTTCATAGAGTTCTAGGTCTATTCCGCAGGTATAAATTCGAGACTCAATTGTGTGTCAAAATACCGCAGGGCAACATTCGGTCGACGGTTTCGTTGGCCGTTTGAAGGCCATAATTCGTGCCAAAAGCGACCAATTCGAACAAATCTATACGTATTCTAAAATTTGATGCTATTTCCGACATTATTTGCTTTCATTCCAAAAAAATTTAAGCAAAAAATGTAAAAATTATGGCGTTTAACTTTGTTGCAGTTTTTTTAATCTCACCCTGTAAGTTTCAACATTTTTGTTGATATTTCTACGAGTTTAATATACAAGCTAAATTTATTCGACAATATTTTAAATTATGTTACAGCACGTGTTCCCATATTAGCAGTGCCACCTCCCTATTAAAAGTTGATGTCCTTTATGTTGATGATTAAAAAATTTAATCCTACCCAATCTTTATATCTTTTAATTAACTTAATTTCTAAAGAGTCACATATGATGTAATCCAAAATTTTTGAATCTCATTGACCTGGTGTTAATCCAAAAATGTCTAAGTTTAGATTATAAAACCCATAATCCTGTTCCATTACAAGCAACTCTACTCGTTTATGCTTGAGTACCTCAAACATAATTACCTGGATGGCTGTCAGCCACACAGCAACATAAGTTTCGTTCGATCAAACCGAAGGCTATCAATTGCAAATGTGTGTGAACAGTGTGAACACTCCGATGAATGACTCTCCTGGAAATGGACATTACTTACCAGTTAATCGATTTACGGTGCGACACGTATAACTTTTGTATGCATCATTCGGTCCGGCATTATTGATGTACAGTTCGCCATTGGAGAGGACCGTGTATTTGCCACCTATGTCTGTATTGGGATACAGGTGCATCCCTGTGTCCTGTATCCAAGCGGTGACCATAACAAACTCTGACATGTAACTGGGCACCTGATAACGAAAAAGAGGATTAAAAAAAGAAAAAAAAAAAATAGTGAGAAATGAAAACACATGATGACATACAATATTGAAACGTACAGTAAATGGAGTTAGATAAACTCATCAAGGTTAGTATCTAAAAGGCAACAACAAAAAAACCGATGATTGAATTATTTCAAGGGAAATTTCTGTTGAGAGTGCAGCGCAAAAAAAATCTGAACATAGAGTGACAAAAGCCAAGGGGGCTTCAATGCATTCAATATTAACACTCTGGGATTGATTGCTTTAATATTCTGCAGCATATGATGGAGGCTATATGCAATTTCTTCATAATCGCCTTAGAATCCTTGAAAGTGTAACCATGGGCAAGGCAAGTTTTTTATACGAATTTCATGTTATTTTTTTCAGAAGATGAATGCAATGTTTTATGTAACGATAGCAAACTTCTGGGTATTAATCGTTTTAAGTTCCTAATTTTTAATGAACAAAAAATTATCGGCAACTTAGGTTCTTAGGTTCGGGCCTGGCCGACTATATGAAGCCTTACACCGCTGTGCATATTTAGAGGAGCTTACCTAAACAAATCTACGTTTGTATTAATGATATATGTAAAATAAATCATACCACTAAACACATGTTAGGCTTTAGTGCAGCTTAATTATACCCTACACCACATAGTGGTAAGGGTATTATGTCTTTGTGCATTTGTTTGTAACAGGGAGAAGGAAGCGAGATAGACCCAAAGTTACTTTTGACAATCTTCATAGAATCACTTTCTGAGTCGATTTATGCATGTCAGTCCGTCTGTTCGTCCGCTCATCCACCTATTCTTGTAAATAAAATGCAGGTCACATTTATTATCTGATTGAGATCACATTTTCCAAACAATATTTGTTTGGTCCAAGGACGAACCTTATTGAAATTGGTGATGTAATGGATACTACAGCCTAAGACAGAAAATTGTCTGTGCAGGTCCACGTCTTCGTAGAGTCCCCATATAATGGTACATCCCGATATTCTGTATTTTGACGATTTTAGCTACATTATTACAGATTTTTTTTAAGTTTCGCATTTGAATATCGTAATAGCTTATGACAAAAATAGCCTATGCAGGTCCACGTCGTCGATTAGACCCTAGTATGACGGCTACATTTGGTATTTTTAATATTTTAACAGAGTTTTTTAAGGATTTTATTGTTTCTGAGAATTTTTAATTATTCAAAATGTCGTTCACTTTATGGGGGAGGTACCAGAAAAAGTGAGCTCATATCTACCATCTTCACACAGGATCTTGTGAAACAAAAAATTTGGGATGTGCAGGTCACATTTATTATCTGATTGAGATGAAATTATTCAAACAATGTTTGTTTGGCCCAAGGACTAAACCTATTGAAATTGGCGATAAAGGGATCAGATTTAGATCCCATATATCTTTAACCGACTTCGGGTTAATTGTACACAAAATGGATAATATCACTCCAAATGACCTGAATTTTGGCACATTCAACCGAATTCAGTTAAGAAGCAAGCACATAAAATTTGGTGAAAATAGGTTCAGATATAGCTCCCATAAATATGTTTCATCCTATTTGGTGTTTTGGTCCCTCACAAGCGTAATAAGCACTTTACAACAATGATATTTGGTACCAGATATCAGATGCAGCCCAGAAATACCTCTGTCAAATTTTATCAACATCGGCTGAGATTTGGATATCGCTCCCATATATGTCTTCAACCGATTACGGGTTAATAGTGTACCAAATGGTCAATATCACTCCAAATTACCTGAATTTTGGCACATTCAACCGAATTCAGTTAAGAAGCAAGCACATACAATTTGGTGAAAATAGGTTCAAATATAGCTATAGCTCCCATATATATGTTTCATCCGATTTGGTGTTTTAAGTCCCTCACGTGCGTAATATGCACTCTAAAAGAATGATATTTGGTACCAGACATCAAGTACTGCTCCAAAGTAAGTGTATCAAATTTTCTCAAGATCGGTTCAGATTTGCATGTAGCTCCCGCATATGCCATCAACCGATTTCGGGTTAATTGTCCGCCAAATAGCCAATAGCAGTCCAAATTACCTAAATGTTGACACATCCGACCGAATTCAGTCTAGAAGCAAGTACATTGAGTTGGAGAAAATCGGTTCAGATATAGTTATTGCTCAAATATATAAGTTTCATCCGATTTGGATTTAAGTTCCCACATTCGTAATATGCATTCGAGAACAATGATATTTGGTACCAGATATCCTATAGAGCTCGGAAAAACCTTTACCAAATTTTTTTTCCGATTTCAGGTTTATTGTGCAAGTAATGGCTAATATCAGCCCAAATGCAGTGCATTTCGGGACGTACATTTCCATTTTGTGAAACTAGGCTCCGATATATTTTTAATATATTTCTTCTCGAAGTAATATCATGCACTCTATAGCAATGCTTTTTGGTATAAAATATTAAAATGTTTCCGTTAAATTTAGTGAAAATCCATTCAGTTTTGCAAATATCATCTCATCTTCACAACAGATCTTGCGTTAGCAAAAATATTTGGATGTGTGAGATTTGAAGAGAGTTGATACTTATTTCACTTTCTTTGAGCGTTCTGTTGTTCTATAATTTGCTCTTGACGTACCAGGAGATCTAGGGTCTAAAACTGCTATTTCGATGAGGCACATTTTGGCCGTATCAAATGATATATACCCTCTCTATCCATATGGTTTAGGGTAAAATCAGGCATCTTTTACCAATTTTATGCGGATAATAGTTAACCAATATTTCAACCTTATTGGGGACAGGTATGAGAAGGAGTGAGCAGATAAATTCTATGTTCACATCAGATTTCTGATTGAATGAAATATATAGATATACCATGTCTGAATAGAATCGCTGACTTTTTTCGCAAATTATGAGAGATATAAGTATTGAAAATTGAGACACTTTGTTGAGGGGATACCAAAAGCGGTAAGCCAATATTTTTAATTTCCCACCACATCATGTGTTAGAAAAAAATCTCTGTTTAAGTTAGAATTGCAAATTGCCAAACGATCCAGAGAGCCTACGTTCGCTTAGTACGGACCGTAGAGAGATGCATTCTTGGGCTAAAAGGTTGCCTGCAACTTCCCTTTGGAGCCTACGTTCGCTTGGCTCGGACCGTAGGGAGAAAGCCTTCCCAGTCTGAAGATTTTCCCTACAACTCTCCTTGGGGCCTACGTTCGCACAGCTCGGACCGTAGGCAGCTTTTCCAAGTCATTTCTCTACAACTCTCTCTGGGTACTCTCTCAGCCCGTGTTGCTGTTAGAGATTTCCTGGAAGCATCGGTGCTTCCAGCCACCTCGATGCATTGCGACTTGGCATTGATAGTAACTCTCTTGCTAGCTACGGAGCTAACCGTAACAAAGGTAATCTGTCAACTCGGGTTGACCAATTTCCAAACATCTCAATAAACGGTCATTTATATTATATTAATACTAATCCCCCTTGGTTTTATTTATCTTTTTATTTCTATACGGTCACGATTTGTATGCCTGAGAGAACATCAACGTCTCATACGGAGAGAAACATTTGGTCCAATCGAGCCGGATTTCTCATCAGTGCCTTTCCCTTTGCTTTCTGCAGGCATTACGTACGGAAAATCATCCCCCCGCATCCTCATACAGTCCACACAACATACATAAAACCATCATCTTCATCAATTATCAACAAAATAACAGGTACGTGAAATCATTTTCTAAAAGTGAGCGAAAAGGAAAAAATAGAATAAACGAAAGGAAAAAAGTCGCGAGTGCATATTCGGAACATAATTGTATTAAACACATATGTGCAGGTCGTCCATCTATCACCCTAATCTCGGCATTAACGGCAATATACGTATTTGGTTAGCATTGTGTTTCTTTTTTATAATCCCCATGCATTGAAGTCCCTTCCAAGAAGTGTTAACAATTTAATATTTGTTAAAGTTTGAATTCGGACAGACATACTTCTCTATAAGCATCATTTATTGTCGTTTAAAAAAAAAAAAAAAAAAAAAAAAGAGCATTGGTTTATGCAGTAGTGAATTTGCCTTTCGTTTTGATCATTCACTTACAGCATACCTACTTCGCCAAATGATCTAGTTGTTTGTTGTTATTGTTATGCCTATTCGCCGCCTCTCATTGCATTGAAAAAAATAACAATAACAACATATCGATATTCCAACTACTGGTCGCATACCGAAAAAAAAATATTTGGTTGTTCGCTCCGTTGTTGTGAGAGCTTGCATTTACTTCTTTATTTTTCTAACAACAACACACTCAGTTGTTGCTGCTCTGCCGCTTGACCGCTTTCTTATGCACCACCTCAGGCACGTTGACTACGCTGTCGACGTCGCTTGTGTTTTATTTCGTTTTGTCTGCTTTCGTTATTTCGCTGCACAGTGGGTCGCAGGTGAAAAATTCATAATTTATTTTTAATAAATTTATTAAAACAGAAAATTGGCGTATTTTCTCAAATTAATTAATTTTTTGCTACCAACGGGTTTTTGGATGTTGTGCACGCTACAACCAGCCACATATGTACAAATAAATATTTTTTGTCGGCTAAGAATAGTTTTGATTTATTTGTATAAAAATATTTATTTGGGTTCTTTTTGCAAATATTATTATCTGTTTTTCGTTGAACTTCAGTTTTATTTTCTTGCGTACCCTACATTCGGTCATATACGCCAAAAATAACAAAATTGTTTATTTCTCTTGGAAAATTGAACGAGATTTTCAGATTGTTTTTATATTTTCTTACATTAAATATCAGCTGTGTAGTATTTCTCGGAATTTTACTTTTTCCCTAAACGCACACCCTACGGACAGCCCCATTGAAATTTTGGAAATATAATAGGTGAAATTATTTTTTTGCAGATTTCAAGCATAATTTCGTAGGAAATCAATATTTTTAGAGATTTTACCTATCTAGTGCTCGTTGTTTGCCTTTAACTTGATAAATCGTAGATCTTATTGAGTATATATTTTTTCC